AGGTCCTTCAGGGCCGTATCCACTCCCTCGATGAGCCGGTGGCGTTTGATCCTCGGTCCCGGCATGCAATGGTGAATGAGCCGGGGATGAAGTGGGTGCTTTCAGCTTACACTCCTTCTGGTGTACAATCTTTACTGCAAGCCGATGTGGATTATCTGTTTCAGCATGGCTTCCCAGTTACAGGTACAGGGGTATGTTTGCCTACTGTGCGAGCTATTCAGCGTGTTTCTTATGGACCGCANNAGGAGGAGGAGGACGCAGGTGCTGTGCGTGAAGGAGAACCTGAAGAAGATGATGAAGTCCATGGGGATTGGGAGCTGTTCGTGGAGGACAGTGAGGAGTCATGCGTTATGGAAGGAGATTCCGAACCAGAAGAAGAACCTCCTCGCTTACGGGCGCTTTGCAGCTCATGTGACCCTGGGGTGGAGTTGGAGTTGTTATGTCGTCGCTATGAAGGTTATCTTGGGGATGACAATGGAGCACCGGAGGTTCAGGAGGAGATGGCTACGAGCTTGGAGGAGTGGGAGCTGTTGTGGCCGCGTATGTCAAAGGTGGAACCTGAGTTCACTGAGAACATCGAGGATCTGATCGCTGGACTACAAGAACCTTTGAGGCATACACACAATGTGAACCCACAAGAAGTTCGAGCCGCAATGGAAAGGTGGAGGGATGCGATCGTCAAGGAGCTCGGGGTGGTTGAAAAGGGCTTCTACAAGACCACTGTGGATGGAGTTCGGGAGCTGAAGAAGTCCCGAAAAGTCCAGGAGCTTCCAGCTAAACTTGTATACACCCTGAAGCCACCCAGCGAACCTGGCGAGCCTGGCACAGAGTCGGCCAAATGCAAAAGGAAGGCCAGGATTGTTTGCTGTGGGAATTTCAATAGTGAGGATCCTGGGGACGTATTCGCTTCGGGAGCAGCAGCAGAGTCTTTGAGATGCGCCCTCGCACTTACAGCTATGAAAAGATGGTCCGCTGGAGGCTTGGATATTGGAGGAGCTTTCATGCTGACACCCTTGGATGATGATGTCAATGCGGTTCTATTTGCTGTGACCCCGCCGGCCATTTTGGTCCGGCTCAAGCTGGTGGAACCCAACGAGCGATGGATACTTACCAGGGCGATGTACGGACTGCGACAGTCACCAAGACTATGGTCAGTGTTTCGTGACAAGACTGTAAAGGCTATGAAGATTGAGTTGGCTGGTGATACATGGTACTTCAAGCAAGGGGTGGCGGAACCCAACCTATGGTACCTTTACAAGCTCAATGATTCTACTTCTACCAGTCCGGAGGCCGTGTTGCTGATCTATGTGGACGACCTCTTGATATGTGGACCTGACCCCCTGGTGAGGGCTATAGCAGCTTGTATTAGCCGTACATGGAAAACTTCAGAGCTCGAGATTGTGGAACCTGCTCGAGGGATTCGGTTTTTGGGGTGCGAGATTGAGGTCAATGAGGGCAAGGATGTATATTGGCTGCATCAGAAACCATATGTGATGGAACTTATACGACAACACCAGGTTCCTGAGACAGCTCGTTCGCCCATTCCATGTGCAAGGGAACTATTGTCCTTGGCGGTTGAGGACAGCGAGCCAAAGGGTGACGAAGGCCACCTGAAAAGGGCTCAGCGTCTTTGTGGGGAACTTCTTTGGCTCAGTCAGAGAAGCAGACCGGATATTGCGTTCCCGGTGTCCATTATGGGAAGCTTACTTACGAAGGCAGCTCCTCGTAGCATCGAGATTGGGACCCGATTATTGTCATACCTGCAAAGGACAATGGGTGTGGCTTTGGAGATCAGGCCTGAGAGCGGGGGCTTTGAAGCCTGGAGCGACTGCAGCTATGCTCCAAGTGGGTGTCGATCCCACAGCGGTATGGCGATTACCTGGAACAAAGCTGTTATAGGTTGGCGTTCTTGCAGGCAGCCCTTTACTTGTTTGTCGACGGCCGAAGGAGAGTTGGTTGCGGCGATTGAGACTCTCACCCTTGCAATGAGCTTGAAGGCGATAGTGGATGAGTTCGGGGAAACAGTTCCGAACATGACCCTATGCATCGACAACCAAGCAGCGCTGACTTTGGCTACACCAGGTACGACGGCGAGCTGGAGGACGCGGCACCTACGTATACGATCGGCCTTCCTACGGGAAAAAGTGGATCAAGGTGATGTCCAGCTGCGCTTCGTGCCAGGAAAATATCAACTTGCTGATCTCCTTACCAAGGGGTTCCCAAGACAGCGGTTGGAGGAGCTCAATGCTTTGTGGAAGTTGGTGGATTTGCTCGTTTCTACCACCCAGCTGAGTGTGATCAAGCTGATGGTGATGATGACTATGATGGTGCAGTCGTCAAGGGCATCTCCGATTTCCGGGAAGGACCCTTTGGATATTGATACCCCTTGGGAGCTTTATTTGTTGGTAGCTTTGATCGCGGTTGGAGTTGTGGCAGGTTGGGAATGCCTATGGGGAGCGTGGTTCTATTTTACAGGACAGGAATCCCCGGCCGAACTTCGAAGGGCTAGGAAGCTGAAGCGGATGCAGGATGCAATACAGCAGGAGATTGCCACGCAGCTCAATGCTTCTCCCCCGCGTACTACGACTACGGCATCCTCGGGAACGACATCAAGGACCCCCAAGGAGGCGACGAGGGAAAGGTCACCTACTATTCCGGGGTTGGCCACGTCCTCTACGTCTACGGAATCGCATGTTCCCCGGTTACCAACGACTTCTACAGCAGGACTCCGGGGAAAGACCATTTACAGGGACACCCAAAGGGATAGGTCCACTCAAACCGAGGCGTGGATGATTCCGTCCCCGCGCCCTCTTATACAGTATGTGGATAGGGAGGTGCCAGTGCCTATTGCAGAGCCGGATAAGTGGACACGGCCACTGTGGGTTTCTGAACATGG